TCTACTTTACACAACAATCCCGCATCTGTAAATATCGAAGTTTTCAAAATGCTACGATGAATCGCGTCAGATCACTGATATCAGCAACTTTCAAACAGTTTGACATATTATTGGTCTAAATTTAATCCAACACAAACCAGTTCAAATGCATTTCGAATCATTTTACATTTTAATGGCCGAAACATTAACAAGTCCTCAAATTGTTTTATATTGTATTATTATGATTTTATTTCTCCAAAACATTATATGATTAGTGAAGACTAGGTTTTATTTTATCAAAATAAATATATTATATAGCTTTTTAGAATATATTATATACATGTAGCTGTTTTCATCTGATCGGCTGCCATAGTAACCCATACTGCCCTAACTAACACTATAATAACTATTTTTATTTAGGCACGACAGTGGATTCAACAACAGATGCAATTGAATTAACAACAGTCATAGATGTGACAGTTACAGATTCAATAACAGAAGGTAATTTCAAAACATTATTCAAATTACATATATTGGTACCTTGGCTGATCCAATTCTCGCTAATTTTGATGTAAGACTCTTTAATACTTGAATGACATTAATGAATAAAAATCTATGTTCTCATACGACATACATGTATTTGTGTCATAGAATTCAATATTTCTACAATTTTTTTCATAATTCACTGTAACATGACAGCATATTTGTGCATTGGTGTAATATGCATACCAAATAAAATATTTTCATCGACAATATAGCTCTATATCTATTTGGTAGATTGTAATAAAACTGTATAATTTTCTATAGGAATCAGAACAACTCATTATACTAAATATCAGCAATAGAATACTATGGAACAAAATAATATCTACTTTGCTTACTTGCCTGACAAAATCAGCAAAAATGTGTTATGTTTACTTCACACGTAATTCAACAAATGTATCATTTCTGTAAAAATATATTCAGCTAAAAAAGATAAACTATTGCTTGCAGAGTTCCGTCCCTGTAGGTAGTAAAGTTGTAATATTACAATATTATTTTTAAAATGAATGAAAGAACATATAAAAAGAAAGAATATTGCTCGTATGTATTCGGATTCTGGCATTTCTTTAAAGTGCCACAATCGTCACACACTACACGTTAGAATTAAAATCGGCTTTCAAATGTTTGTGTTCACAGGGGACACTAAAAACCGCAAATCTTTACACAGCGACCATTTTTTTTAGAAAATTGTTAAACGTCCAGTACGCATTTTCAGATTATTTAGTAATACGAAAATTTAAATTATGGGTCTGGTTTGGTCACAGAATAAGATCTTGTGTATGAATACTAGATACGACGACGAACTTTGTTTGTCACTTTACTTCCGTATTACGTTCGGGTGTACTACGTATAGTGCGTAATGCACCCGATGTAAAACTTGCTGTGTATATGTTAGTGGCTATAATGCAGT